TAACCAATATACTGATTTAATTAACAAAGGTTTTTCTCTTGTAATCCTGCAAGACACATAACACGTGTTGGTGTTGACTTTCCTTTAAGAGGGAAGTGTCTCAGTGTTTATCGTTGTATCAGTGGAACAGAAACCTTGTTAATGCTCCAGATGCAACACCATGACATTGAACACCGGTAATTTTTCAATTTCTATTTGTTGTGTGCACTGTGTTTAGTCTTTAGTATTTGCGGCTAAATGTTTTCAGGGGATTTTCAAGGCGCTAAAAGGAAGGAAAACAACACATACATCTTATCTGGTTAATAAATCAAGTTTGCTTGCGTTTTTATTTACCCACAACATCTGGAATAACATTCATTACAGTCGGAAATGCCAAACTCAGTCAGTTAGAGTCTTTTGTCCCCTTGTTTTTCCAGAAACAAATAAGAGATGTTAAAAAAAAGTTTAAAACTAGAAAATGCATTTTCTGCTGAAAATGCGTTGAAATGCAAAATGAAATGATTTTTTTTATTTTAAAAAATAGCTGAAAATACAGAAAGTTGAAGGGAATTTGAATACATTTGCTGAAATTACAGATATTAGAAAAGCTGAAATTAATTTGAAATTGCTAAAAATACAGAAATCAATATTAAAACATTGTTGGTAATACAGGCATAATAAAAGCTGAAATTATTTGAAAGAACTGCTGAAAATACAGAAATGGGAGAAGCGGAATTTCAATAAATTTTCTAAAAAATACAGTTGCAGGAGCGTAAATGAATTTTAAAAAATACAGAAATGACAAAAGCTGAGATGAATAAAAAGACATTTTAAATTGTCTGTAGTAATATTAGTAGTAGTTTTAGTTATAGTTGTAATTGTGGTATTAGTAGTACTAGCAGTAGAAGTAGTAATAGTAGGTTAAGTATCAATAGCAGTAGAAACAGCTGGAATACAAATATTATTAGTCATAGTAGTATTTAGTATAGTTATAGTTGTAGTTGTAAAAATAGTAGTTGTTGAAGTATTAGTAGCAGTTGAAATACCAGTAGTATTAGGTCTGCATGAGTCAGTGCCACAAAGACAATCAAAGACAGCCTAGATAGCTATCAAAAGACATGAGAGATTTTCACTGGCTGTTTTAGCACTGTTTTGGTACTGTTATTGCTTGTGCATTGCTAGCTAGCGCCATGTTAGCGCTATGCTAGCTATCGCCACGTTGTTCCCAGGCCTGTGTCTGTCAGACTACGTAGGGGGGGAGAGTGAGTGCTGGCAACGAGGCTGTGTAGTCGTCATGGAGACGGCGCAGCTGCTGTTTTCGCGGGCTGATCACAGACCGCGCTGAGTAAACGGATTTTACCAAGAAACCACACCTCAAACAAGTGTCCTCTAGCACAAAATTATAACATCTATCTAAAAAATAAGAAGTTTGTGAGAGACCCACGACTCTACTGAACGCAGGGAGGTGTTTTTATGTACTGCCTGTGGCAGTTTACAAAACGTGTACCTGCTGGATTTTTTGAGAAATATGTCGGCAGATTTGTATTGGAGCCTACTGGGCTTTCGGCAGAGGTTGTGTCATTCTCCAACACTCCTGAAGCCAAAACTAAAGAACTCTGGGATTCCATAGCCACATAAATCCAATCAGCACAACCATCACTTTCACCTAAAATGAAGTCTCAAAAGTGTATACTTTGGCTGGCAGGACCGAAGTTCCGTATTTTTTTAACCAGATTCTGACGCAGATCTTCACTCTACTTCTCCAGTTGTCACTCTAACAAATGCAGTACACACTCATGTAAAACTCAGAAACGGAACGAAGAACTAGTGAAACATACTCAGTGATTATGAAAAAAGTAGAATAGATATCAACAAGCAGTTTTTATAAAATAGTTGAGACTTGTGTCAACATTTGAAAGTTTAAATGGTGTATGTAGCTGAAGGATTGGCGAAGCTGAAAAATCTGAAATTTGAAGAAGTTTAAGAGGATTTGAAATCAAACTCCATTTGAAAACCATGTTAAAATATTAATGATTATTGATTTATATAAATTCAAGCATAAGAGGTAGAAAGTTGAAAAGTCATAGCCCCCCCTCTCCTGAATGAGCTGAACAATTTAATATTTGAACGGTTTGAATAGCTGAAAGTGGGAAGGAGTTGAAAGGTTGCACCGAAGAAATAAAAGAAGTTGAATAAAGAACAGAAGAACAATACATGGAATGCTTAATGCATTCCAACATGTTACGGCCCTTTTGTAGATTCCAGGACAGTAAAACAACAATCAAAGACAGGCGACAGAGTCAGGGTAAAAGGTGTCTTTCTAGTTTTTATTCTTACACAAAAAGATGGCTCCCAACAGGAGGGAGGGAGATGGTGGAAGATGGGACCTACAGGTTGTGCCAAACAAATTAAATGAATATAACAAAACGAGGCCTAGCTCACCACTGGCTCTTCATCCAAAACAAGTCAAACAAAATACCTTACCTGCTTCTCTAAAGAAGGACTGAAGGAAAACGTTACACAGGAGGCAACAACCACTACACCTTGTGTGTCTATACAAAGGTATACCTACGTGCAAGAATGTACAGGGTACCCCAACTTACTAAGGTCCTCAACCTCCACCTTACCAAACTCCAGTTTTGCTAGCAGCCAGCTAAAGCTCATGTACAGGAAGACTGGCCACCACCCGCAGCGCAGAACACCCCCCCCCCTTTCACTTCTCAGGAGTCTTCCTTTATGGACTGCCACCGGGACTGCTGATCGCTTTCCACCTGTGTTTGGAGTTGGCCAATCAGCGTAATCACTGGGGGAGAGAAACAAATGAGCAGGAGGGAGAATGACAAGAACGCATGCAGACAGTGCCCGTCTGGCATGTGACACCTCCACCCCCTATAGAGCTCAGAAAACAAAAAAAAAAAAAACTGTCCATTTTTTGCTCGAGCGTCTACCCTTCGTATAGACACACCAGGTGTAGTGGTTGTTGCCTCCTGTGTAACGTTTTCCTTTAGTCCTTTTTTAGAGAAGCAGGTAAGGTATTTTGTTTGACTTGTTTTGGATGAAGAGCCAGTGGTGAGCTAGGCCTCGTTTTGTTATATTCATTTCATTTGTTTGGCACAACCTGTAGGTCCCATCTTCCACCATCTCCCTCCCTCCTGTTGGGAGCCATCTTTTTGTGTAAGAATAAAAACTAGAAAGACACCTTTTACCCTGACTCTGTCGCCTGTCTTTGATTGTTGTTTTACTGTCCTGGAATCTACAAAAGGGGCCATAACACAAGTGGGGGGTGCATACAGAAGAGGCTTTGACTGACTGCATCAGGTTGTGCATCCTGAAGAGAAATACAAAATGTAGACTAAACTAAATCTCTCGAGTCATTTTATATGCAAACAGTTATACAGTTATATAATGCTTATTACGATTAATCGTTTAATCAAAAAGAACAACAAAATGATTATTAACTTTTGCCTCTCCTTCCCTACATACCACTAACTACTCTAACATATCTATGTAGTTGTGTGTCCTCCTTGGAGACACTTAAATATTACAGTTTACAACATGAGCCCGGTATCTATGCTTGTGTGTGTGTGTGTGTGGGAGGAGGGATAGTGGTCTCTGTGTAATACATGAGCGATAGAGTGCCTGATAAAGTGGAAACTACCAAAATGAGCCTACGTCTGCATGCGAATTCGCTACAAAGAGGACGAAAAAGGAAGGACGAATACTCTGCAGTAAATACTAAATACTATGGTAATAGTTAATAGCTAATAGATAATTAGATAAATAGGATCTGATTTGAATCGATTCTTACAAAACGATTCTTAATTTTACTGCTCAACGGAAGAAGAGTAAAGCTGTCACAACCTTTCCTCCAACGCATCGCATCGGTGTAGACAGAGTAAACCGGGGAGAATATCACGTGTCTCTCAGAGGTGAAATTGATGGAGTGTGCGGGGACATTCTCTGGAAATAAGACCTTGCACAATATAAAAGAAGCCTTCAGCCCACACACTGCAAGGCTCACTACTTTTTTCTTAGAATGTAAGACTCAAAAATCTGTGTATCCACGTGAACATCGTTTCACAAAATGCTGCTGATTGTCCACACAAAAGAAAAGTTTTATTGTGCTAAAGTATTGTACATACTGAACCAGACAATTTAGGTAAGTATTTATGAGAGGGGCAGCTAAGCATGTGCAGCGTAACAGTGCTCCGACCGACAGAGGTTTTGCAACGAAACAAATCTATATTGTAGAAGTGTTTTATTTCTATTAACTATGGGGCGCAGTTTGTAAAATGTCGGACGTTCTAAAAATCCTGCTGTTTTGCTACATTCAACATTATCATGTGAAAAAACATTTAGAGAAAGATTCATGCAAATTCATGTAATAACTTTTCCAATGTCTGGCAGTAACAAACGTGTCTTGTGTTAGAACAGAATTTTCTCAACTGTCCCTGGTGGTCTAGTGGTTAGGATTCGGCGCTCTCACCGCCGCGGCCCGGGTTCGATTCCCGGTCAGGGAACGTTGTTTTGTAACCTTGAAAGTTCGAGTACAAAATATTTGTGTAGCAGGAGTTCGAAAAAAGTTCTGAGAGTCGATACGAAGATGATTTTCATCAGTCAACACATTTGAACTAAATCACTCAAAACTACGTTTTAATTAATACTATCTTAAACCTGTGTAAAGTAACTACTAAAACCTGTTTTCTCCTTACAGGTAGCAACAGATTTGTATTAATGTACATCTTTTTTTTTTTCTTTAACTAAACCGTATATTGAATCTCTGGTTTAAACGGTCAGAGATATTAAAAGGAGATCGTATGACCTCTAGAGGTAAAAAACAAACAAAAAATGTCAGAATGCAATGGTGTAGTAAATTATTCAATTTTAACCTAGTCACAATTAACTTGTTTGTATTCCATATGTTCAAGGCAACAGAACATACATTAATGTTAGTTTCATTCATCTTAACTAATAATTAGCTCTTTTACACAATGTCTAGCATAAAATCACACAAGAACATGTACGGTGTAAATATTTATGGATATTTCAACTTTAATCACATTATTAACAAAAGTAATAAGGACTTAGCCCAGCCATCCTGAACTAGATAGTGTGTTCCTCAACATAGGGAACCATTTCCCTACAGCGTAAACCTTTCTGTGAAAAGTTAAACATACACACACACAAATTGACCAACAAAGTTACTCGTTACTCGCCAGTACTTCTGTCGCTTGTTTGCTTCCCAAGTATCACGACGACACTTGAGCAGACAGATCGAAAGGCAAACAGCAGTGCGGCAAAGTTCAGTCTGAGATGTACTGCCTCATCTGACGCTGTTAAGAGACATTATTAATGTCAGAAGGCATTTCTTTATTTCCCAGGATGTTCCTCTTTGTCATGTAAAAAAAAAAGGAAAGAAAAAGAAAGCAATAGTAGAATGACGGATGAAGTGCATGAGATGAGCAGCGAACCGGTGGAGAACAGGCGGGCCGAGCATCTATTCCAACACGACGGTGCCGCCTGCTGCCTCCAGGGCTGCTTTCAGTTTCTCTGCGTCTTCTTTGGGTACGTTGGCTCGGATTTCCTGTGGAAGTGCCTCCACTAGTTTCTTAGCCTGGTTCAGGAAAGAGATCAAAAGAAGATTGAGTGTTCGGTTGCCCAAATCGGTGAGAATCGCAACACGGTCTCCTAAACGAGCGTGCAGCATGTTGCACGAAACCAAATTGTGTACTTTTTTTGTGTAACCTTGATGTCAAACACGTGTTAAATGTATTTGTGGATTTATCTCTTGAGTATTCAGTGATGTTCCCATTCATGTTTATTGGCACGTTAGCGCCATCTGCTGCCAATCAGCCGACAGTATTTCTTAGCTACATGGGGTACTTCGAATACAGGTTTATTGTGTAAAAAAAATTGTGCCGATCGTATCTTTTTTTATTTTGTTGTGTTTATCCGCCACACCTTGCAGACCGGTCCGCGAAATATTGTCTAACATGAAACCGGTCCTTTAGGCAGAAAAGCTCAGGTGCCGCTGCTTTAGATGATTAATATCAGGCCCAGGTGGTGATGATGAGACGTACCTGCACCAGATTGAGGCCTTGGATGCAGTTCTTCACTTCCTTTATAAGTTTGACTTTTTCAGCTGCTTTCAATTCTGTCAATTTTACTGTGAAGTGAGTTTGCTGCTTCTTGACCGGCTCCGCCTCCTCTTCAACGGCCTAGTTTACAAAAATAAAATGGACATTAAATCGAAATTGAGAGAAAAGATTCCTAAAACATGCAGTAATAAAACATGAATATTCAATGTCAGAAAGACGTTTGTGTTACTTAGAATATTGGTTGTGCGTGGTGCTGTAGCAGTGTTCCAGTTACATCGTATACTTTCTGTACTTACGGCCGCGGGTGGAGCTGACGCAGCCATCGGCATCATTCCAACATCCTGAATGTTCAGAGTTTTCTGTTGCAGAAAAAAAAGGTCGCCTGTCAAAATGAGCCGCAGCGGTCTGACGGGGGTTTAGATCTAGTAACTTTTCCACAAACCTTGAGGAGCTCGTTCAGGTCCGACACCTCCAATAGCGTGAGGTTGGCGATGTCACCGACGAGCTGTTGAATTTTGGCGGAGTACTGTTTGGGTGCTCCGTCGAGAGCAGGGGTGGCGAAGGCATCCGAGTGGACGGTCGGGCTGGTCCCCAAAAGCCGCAGAGCACACAAGGCCGGCGTTTGATGCTGAAGCTGTTGCCTGGAAACCGAGAAGATTGATTAACAGATGCTCAGTAGGTCAAGAAGTGCATCTGTCATCAGAAGATGTGCATATAGTGCCGACTTCCAACCCAGGACGTGCATTCCAAGATCTACTCAAAGGACGCATGCCCAAATTAACACTGACCAGTTGTTCCCAGTGAAGCTCAGACTACTGGATCAGAATGCAGCCACATTTGTCTACGTGTGATGCTGACACATTGTGTGACGGGTGCACATTACGAATACCGGAGACCCCTCGTAGCAAACTTGGGTTTCACATGAGTGCACTTATCCGAGACCAGTTCAAAAAGACACTTCATAGATGAATTAAAATATTTACGGGGGTCAAATAGGTAATTACTCAACCAGCAGTACACTAAGCATGGATAAATCCCGTAACTCTTTATTGGGCGGGTCGGGGGTCACACCAGGATGAGAATCAAAGCTGTGCTGGCCTGACATCAGGAGCTCCTGTCAGAGGATCTACAGTGGAAGTCGGTTGGATTCTTAACAGATAGTTAGTCTCTGTAGATGGCTGGTACTCCGAGATGCATCTTTGCAGTTTAGTTCCACAGTTAAAACTCAGAGTTCCCAGTTCCACCAGTGTGACCTTGGTGGTGTTCACTGACCCTCGGTGGACCATCTCAAAAAGAAGCACGTTTAAATCGTGTTGCCACTAAACTGCTGGAGAGGACGTGGTGTTTTCAAGCGACTGAACGCAGAATATTATGTCACTGTGCCGCAATTAGACTGCACGGGTTCGGCTAATGTTCTCGGAGGCTAATGCTAACGTTAGCTAACGTTACTTCACACCACGTTAACGTTACACGACTGCGGGCCAAAAAACCAGCCCGGTATCGGCAACAGGCTGCGGTTTCACATCGCAAATGTATACGACAGCAGTCGTCGGCTGCCCGCCCTTGGAGACCCAAGCCGTCGGATCGCAACGCACCTCAGCACCGTTGCCTCCATTAACATTAACGTTACGTGACCGACCGCGGCGGACCGCACGTACCGGTGAGAAGTGGCCGCGAGCCGCAGCGCGGTCCTCAGGCAGCGTCCGGTGCAGAACATGCTAACGTCAGGTGGAGCCGTCCTCCCCCCCCGCCGGTGTCTCTTTGTAAATTTAAAAACGAGCCGAGTGTGTCTCAGCCGGGTGCCGTTTAACTCCCTCCGCCTCACAAGCACATGGGGTCCGCTCAGTCCTCTCTGAAGCTGACCTACCCACAATGCATTGCCCGAACTGGTGTAAAATCTACGGCAACCCACAGGGAACGTGGGAAAAGCATAGGCGAAAGTAATACAACTATGAGTATCATTGATATTTACGCAGATTGTATTACTTTTAAAATAGTTTAACGTATCAATACGTGAGTCCATAGACAATACTACTAACTAATGGCAACAGCACCTGCATTGATACATTATAATGAATTACAACAGTATGCGATGTAACACTCATCTTCGCTGCAACCACCAGATGGCAGCAAACACCCACGATTCTAAACATACTCGGCCACGATGTGATACACCACCATTGCAATGTGATCCCACACAATATGACGACGTTTATCGTGTTGACTGGCTTTAACATCCAGAGAGAGTTATTGATCTCAGCCCTATATGTGCGTTTGTTAGTCATACGTGGGCTGCGCACGCCAGTGCTGAACACTGGGGAGGAGCACAGAGGGAATCCTCTTAAGCAGGTAATCTCTGCACCCACCTGCTGTTAGTCATCCACCACCTCCAGCCTCCACCAATATGTCATTTACCAACTAGCTTCCGCCAACCAGTACAAGTTAAGGTAAGAGGGATCCTCAGATATAGAACATGAATGCATAGGCTGGCATAGAAGATGAGAGGGTGCTTCTCTCCTTCAGACCATGCTGCTGTCTCCACGGGCCGAGAGGAACTGGGAGGATCTGTGTTTAGTGCTTGAGGAGGTGCTGGAGGACCAGTCCCCCAGGCAGCTGTTTGCCTTGGAGCTGGGCTCTGGAACTGGGCAGCATGTAATCCGCTTTGCACAGAAGATGCCGTTTGTTACCTGGCAGCCGTCAGACATCAAAGAAGAGTCTTTGAAGAGGTTTGTGTCTCACAGAAACGAGGCTCTCAATAGTCACGTCGGCGATATGTAGACGTAAAACAGACGTAATTTATATATTCCGTATTGGTTTAAACACGGATGAATAAGTGTGCATACTCACTTACAGTATTATGGAGTACATTGCGGCGACCCACGTAAAGAATGTGCTGCAGCCTGTGCACCTGGATGCCAGCGCAGCGTGGGAGCAGTGGGCCGCCCTTTCCCGCAACTCCTGTGACGTTATTATTGCCATCAATTTACTGCAATACAGCTCATTTAAAACAGCACAGGTAGGCCTGCTCATCTGTGCAAATCACATCACCCATGAAGAAATTAACACAGACCACATATGTGCCTTTCACAAACATTTCCTTTAAAAGTAATTTCCTCATAGGGTGTTTTCACTGGAGCCGGTCAGCTCCTCAGACAAAACGGCCTTCTAATAACATACGCGGTTGGTACCAGCAGTTTCCCCCAAAATAAAATGATGTCATCATGTGAGAGTGAAGTGCAGAAAGCTGACATCTTTCCACATTTTTACAAAAACGTTGCAGGTGTATGCCATCAATGGCACCATCACACCCAGTTGTAATGAACATCTGGACGCGGAGCTTCGGCAGATGTGAGTGGCCGTTTGTTTCCTCGAATGCAACAATACGTGGCAGACATTTGACAGGTTTAGTGCTTCCACTCAGGAATCCGGAGTGGGGTCTCCCGGACGTGGACGTGCTGAGGCAGCTGGCCTATGGGAACGGCCTGCGCATGGAAAGGATGGTGAGTCACGCGCCTCGAGCCTCCCTGCAGACGACTTTGTGATGGCTTTCACGACTGCGTCGTTTTCATTTACAGATCGAGATGGAAGAATACTACAAATGCCTTATCTTCAGAAAACTTTGAACAAATCGTTTTTGTAGAGGTCACCTATGTGCAGTAAGTCAAATGTAGAAGTCAGTACACTTGTTCAAATCACTCAATGTCATGTTATGCCCTTTGTCCCTCTTATTAAAACATAAATGAATGAATGAATGTTGTTACACCACACGAGTCTTTCTTTTCCAATCCTTAAAAATAAGTCAAAGCAGGTGGACAATAAGAACCAGATATTTATTTAAATATAATTTTAAAATTACTTTTAAAGTTAGACAGGTCAGTATGATGGAATAAAGAAGTTCACAGATGACAACTGAAGCGTTACAGAAATCACCGATTGGGTGCGTCATACAAACATGCGGCACATAATGTTCGCTCTGCAAGCATTTCCACATTTCTGGAGAATCATGTACATTTAGAAAAGAGCCCCCACCTTCATTCCCTACGTAGCAGTCCTCACAATCGCAACCCGGTGCAGACAGGACGAGGTGCCCGAAGGTCATTCGCGGTTAATTATTAGGTCAAAGTACAGGCTTCTTCTTGTGGTAGTACTATTATCAGCAACACAAATCAATTTTTATAAAGCGACGCAGGGCTGCTAGCTGGCAGGGCTGCTAACGGCTGTTTAATGGCCACTAGCTGTGTCATTTCAATTATTAAACATAAGAAATATTTTTTATTAAGGATTAAACAACCACCCGGCTAATTTGATAACACCCCTCGCACAATGTTCCAACCCTGAAAAAAGGCTTTTGCGATTCCAGAAACTACAAATAGATACTTGTTAATCCAAGCGGTGCACAACGAATGACTGCCAAACCAAGACAACCCCAGTTTGTCTGTGCATTAGGAGGAAGGGAGTATACAGCCGCGATGGCAAGCGGAACACATGGAGATTGGAGTTAGTTCCATTGTCTTGTTCTTACTCTCCCTAGACGTCACTTTTCATCCTCACATCCACAATCTGTCAGACAGCTCGTGAAGATGTCTCTCAATCACAGGTAGGATATGTTGCAACAATTAGCTTCCATCGCGGAAAGAAAATGAAACTTTAAACATGCAGATTTCGCTTTAGAAAAATATGAGACAAAGGATGGTTATGTTTTGTCTTTTTTTTGTCCTCAACTAGCATATTTCTTATCCATTTTTTTCTATAACCGACTATTTCTGACCTTAATTACTCTTTTAGTCAAGAAGTACTACATACATATCAGCTGGAAAGAAGGAGGAAGAGGATGAAAGGGTTATGGGGACCTCTCTTGCAGCTTCACCCTTCGTTCCCGTACTTCAGTGGGAGTGAGGCAAAGAGAGCGACTGTTCCGCAACATCATCACAATATTCTACATTGCCACAACATCACAGCAAGATGGAAGGAGGGAAGCATGTGTGTGTGTGTTTGTTTGATTCCAGAGGGCGGAAAGTGAGGGGAAAGACCAAAAGAGGAGCGAGGGTGTAGTGTGTCAGACTCTGCAGCTTGTAGGCTTTCAATCGAAGGAGATGAGCTGTGCCTCCACGCTGCCGGGAACAGCCTGAGGGACTTGCTGCTGCTGCTGCTGATGATGATGATGTTGCTGCTGCTGTTGTTGTTGTTGTTGTTGCTGCTGCTGCTGTTGTGGGCCACCAGAGGGAGCCACCTAGCAAAGAGAAAAGGTAAAAGTACACATAAAGCACATTAGCGAGGATTGAAATAACCTGAAGAGTGGAAATCGAGAATTAACATAGGAGCGAAAGTACAAAGCAGCTGACCTGCTGGTACATGGGCGGCTGGCCTGGTATGTACTGCTGCTGTGGGGGTATATTGGGGTCCTGTCCCGGCAATGCTGAAATCATGTTCTGCATGCTGTACGGCTGGTAGCCCATGTAAGCCATACCGTTGGTGGGGGCAGGCTGGGGCATCGGGGGCATACTCTGGGCCTGAGAGGCCACATTCTGCGCAGATCAATGAAAAGAACAAGAACATTGGCGGGCTAATTATGCCTGACGAATTTGACGAGTTTTTAATCATAAAACAAAAATGAGTCAATCATACCTGGTAGCCCTGTGTGGGTGTGGGCTGATAGTTGGAGTAGGGTGGACTAGTTGTGGGCGGAGTCTGACCAGGAGGAGGAGCGGGCTGCCCGTTAGTGCCTGCAGCCTGGTACATGTATGCGTTTACCATGTTGGGATCTGGAGGAAGGGAGGACCCTCAGTTACACACAGCAGCACACCGAACCCACTGAGAGATTGTTTCCTGACTAAATGTGATTCAACATGGTAGATCATCATAGTTGTGAAGCCATGAAAAGTCTTTTCACCTGGAGCAGCAGCGGGCATGGCCTGGTACTGGGGTGGCGCAGTCTGCCCAGGCTGGTTCATATACATGTTGTGCATAGGCGAACCCTCCACAGAACCAGCCGGGCTGAAGGTACCCGGGTAGCTGGGTGGAGCACCAGGCTGGTACACCACCCCCCCAGCCACATTGGGGGGCAAAGACTGCATCTGCGTAACAGCACATACATCAAATCAGACCTTTTATCCCAAAGCGTTATGGAGAGGTAAATATCGTGTATTTATATTTTATCTAAATGTCCAAGCCGATTAAATCATTGGATTGGAATTGCAAAAAGCCCAGCTGATGGTAGAGTGCAGGGATTGTCTATCATGCAACATGAATCAACCTGCTCATACACATGCATGTACCTGAGCGTAGGGCAGAGAGAACGCAGGCATCTGAGCTCTCATCTGGATCGTGTGCTTTTGCTGCTCCAGACGCATCTGCCTCTCCTTCTCCTGCTCCTGGAGACGCTGGATGGCCAACTGCCTCTGCATCTCCAGGTACTCCTTCAGCCCAAAGACAAACAATGAATAGTGTGTCGAGAGATGCATTTACCCCTTCCCTGGGGGAGAGCCTCATCTAGTTACCTGTTTCTTCTGCCGCATGATCTCCAGTTTCTGCGCCAGCTGGATGTGCCTCTGTCGCTCTGCTTCCTCCGTGGCGCGACGCAGCTTTTCCCTGTGTTCGTCCCGAAGTGCGTTGAGGGCCGCCCGAGCGTCGCGCACCTGAGCCAGCTTGTCCTGCAGCCCCTCATAGTACACTGCGGACGGCATTCGCATGGACGCAGTAGTTCAGGGACCGGACAGTCGGATACGCGTTGGGTGCACACGCAGACACAAACACTGCGAACACTCACGTCGCTTCTCGTCCAGCTGGTTGAGGATGTCCAACAGCTGCGGGTGCATGTTGTTGATGGACTGGAAGAGCGATAGCACGGCGCTGTCGTTGGTGATGCTGCGGC